ATATAAATTGAAAAAAAGTTGATCCACAATTGTTGTAAAATAAATAAAGTTCAATATTTTTGATATATAAGCAGTACACACAACCTGTGCAGCTGTACATGTAGTTATATCTATTTGACAGCTCAGATGTTGAGGCAAAACTCTGTACTGTATAATGTTGATTTAACCAACTTTGTCAAAATAATATCTTTATCACTGTAAATATAGACCCATGGACTATTTATATACCATCTGCAAAATAGAGACTCAGACTATGTGACCACTGTCATTAAGCAGCTATTTGTAAAACAGTATATCCAAATTCTAAATTCCCTTTACCTGTACAACAGTTGCAGAAGATAAGTTTGGTATCGGTAGGACATGCATGGAGTTAAAAAAACGTGTTTGACATCCATACATAAAATATATTAATATTGAAAATGAGTTTCACAGATTGACAAAGTTAACTGATAAACATATTCATGTTTTAATAAGTTCATCTCATAGTGATCTCCAAAGTTGTTATTTTATCAAATTGTGGAGCATTGTATAAAAATCACAGGGAATGATACTGAGGTTATTACAGTGTTATTTATATCAGGTGATTTTTTGAGCTATTGTTTAGCATCTTACATCAAAACCACATGCATGCTTAATAGTGATGAAATTTGTTTCAAAAATTGTTGTAAAATGTATAATTTTTCATAAATATGTGAAAGAAATCTGAATGTTCATTGTGTGTTACTACAGATCAAGCTTCAATTTGCTAACAACGTTGTACCAGAACAGTTTGTCAAAATACATGCAGACTCTGAGGAAGAAACTTGGAAAAAGACAAACACCCAAAACCCATTTCTCAACTTTATCCAGCAACTCAATCTTTTCTTCAACAAGGATAGGGAGGACATATCTCTGACAGCTTTCAACAAGAGTTGTGTAGCTGTGCAGACTGACTCATCCTATACAGTCTCATTTAGTGTTAAATGTGAGTACATACCTATCCTAGATTATCTCCTTAAGTGTTACATGTGAGTACAGACCTATCCTAGATAATCTCATTCAGTGTTAAATGTGAGTACAGACCTATAACCTACTAGCTAGATAATCTCCTTCAGTGTTTAATATGAGTGAAGACCTGTCCTAGATTTCTTACAGTGTTGAATATGTAAAATATGAGTATAGATCCGTCCTATATAATCTTGATCAGTCCTTCAGAAACTACTTCAGTGTTAAATGTGAGTATAGATCCGTCCTATATAATCTTCATCAGTGGCAAATGTGAGTAAAGACTTGTCCTTCAGAATCTACTTCAGTGTTAAATGTGAGTATAGATCTGTCCTATATAATCTTCATCAGTGTTAAATGTGAGTATAGATCCGTCCTATATAATCTACTTCAGTGTTAAATGTGAGTATAGACCTGTCCTTCAGAATCTACTTCAGTGTTAAATGTGAGTATAGACCTGTCCTTTAGAGTCTCATTCAGTGTTAACAGTGAGTATAGACCTGTCCTTCAGAATCTACTTCAGTGTTAAAAGTGAGTATAGACCTGTCCTTTAGAGTCTCATTCAGTGATAAATGTGAGTATAGACATGTGCTTTAGAGTCTCATTCAGTGTTAAATGTGAGTATAGACCTGTCCTTAAGAGTCTCATTCAGTGATAAATGTGAGTATTGACCTGTCCTTTAGAGTCTCATTCAGTGATAAATGTGAGGACTGAACTATCCAGTATAATCTCCTTCAGTGTTAAATGTGAGTATGTGTTACATTCTGAGTTGATGTATACTCCTAGTTAGACTTTGAATATATATGTGAGTGCGGGCCAAATTTATATATAGATGCATTGTCTCTTTCTGTTTGAGTACAGACCATTTCTATGCCTTCCCAAACTAACTACAGGGTCAAAAGGGCACTCATGTTTGACAGACATTTTGTAGTTATTTCACAAATGGTACACTCTTTCATGTCTTGTAGTATGCTTAATGTGAGTAAAGACTAAATTAATATTGCAGAAAATGTTTTTGTTTTCAGATGTTGAACTGTGGTACGTAGCATACCTAGCTGCAGGCATTGTCATCTTTCTGTCAGCAAAAAGCTGGAGCCAGTAAGTGTGAAAGCATAATTTAAGGATCTTTTGTTACTACTTCTCAAAATATGTATCAATAATTTTGAAATTATTTGCATTCAGGAATAGCCATTATGTAAAAAATCATGTGTGTAAGGGAACTTTCTTTTCATATGCACTTTTTAAAGGGTGAAGGATGGTATGATTATGCCAGTGTTACAGTAACAGATACCTACACTACAGTACAGGTGTAACCAT